CCAATTGTAAAGCTACATGACCACGCCAGTTGTCGAGCTCTTTTACCTGCCTGTAATCCTGCCGACTGGGCAAATGGGCCAATTGTTGAGCTAAGGCTGGGTCTGAAGCTCACAGACCCCTCAAGCCCATTCACAGACTGGGTCACAAACCCTTCACATGCCAGGCTGGGTCCCCAGACCCCTCATATGCTAGGCTGGGTCCCGAGACCCCTCACATGCCAGGCTGGGTCACCAGACCCCTTACACACAAATCTATAAGCTAGGTAACCAGCAAACAGGCCCTTGGACGCCATAGGTTGGAAAGCATGGCTGTGCCACCAGGTGGATGCCTGAGGCAGTAAACTCCAGCCAAGGTGGTGGTGCCACTCAGGTGCACTAACTCTGCCCAGACACAACCTATTCACAACAAATGCTCGGCAAGATTCTGAATATCTGAGGGGCCCTGACCATTTTCCTATATTTTCCCAACAATTAATATATCACAAAAATACTGTAAATTTTATAGTTTGGAGTTAGGAATTAGGCATTAATTAATGGTCATCACTTCCTGTAGTTTATACTAGTCTTAACACCATTCTGTATATTGGCTTTGGAAAGACAACTAATCTGTGTTATTTTAAAGATTTTTTTCGTGTTGGCAAACATATTAAGAATTGCAGGAGAGACATTGGAATAGTTATAAACAAAATTCTTTTTAAATCCTATTTTTAATAAATAGAAGGGGTTTTAATGGAAACCACCATACTGAATGAAAACATATCATTGAAAATCTTTCTTTTCTTGTTAGTTCTTCACTATTTTTGTTTCTATCAAAACATCAAATACATTTTCCAAAGAAAGTTTCCATGATTTGAAATAAAATATGAAAAACAAAAAGGTTTTTATCAGTTTCTCTATAATGTGCCCAATTAATGATGCATCTACATTTTAAGATTTTGAATTAATAGAACAAAGTATTTAAGCTTCATGAGTACTTTTATATTCATGGGTAAGAATTATATAAATAATAGGTAAATATTTTCAAAATAATATATATTCTATTTTTCCAGACCTCATTTTAACTGAATTTCTAAAGAGTCTATCTAAAAATATTTAGTCATGTTTGACTAGAAGCCCACGTTTAAAAAAAGAGAGAATAAAAAAAAATTTAGTCACAAGCCAAAGATTTGTCCAGCTTGAAATACAGCTTTATATTCAATGAGAATGATCGTCTATTTGCACTATTGATGTACACCATTGTATGTTTCATACACATAAGTTTAACATTAATATATCTATTGCAAACGTTAAAGCTTGTTTTTAGAATTTCGATGATAGTGCCAAAGTGAAGTAGAGAATACCAAAAATCAGTGAATAATAAAAATAAACAATTAATGACATATGATTCAAAGAATCCCATTTTCTATTATGTAGTCTTCCATCTTCTACCAGAATACTCAATAAAAGCAGAATAAAATGTACAACACTTTTGTAAAATGTGCCCAGAACCTATTGGTTCACACAGTGCCACATTCCAGATTTTGAGATGAATTTTAAAAGTTTGCCTTTTCACCACTGATCAACATTTTTCGAATTCCCACTGAGCATAGAACATACAGTTGTCCCTCGGTATCCATGGGGGATTGGTTCCAGGACCTCCCAGGATACCAAAATCTAAGGATGCTCAAGTCCCTTATATAAAATGGCTAGTATTTGCACATAACAGATACGCATCCAGTATACTTTAAATCATCTCTAGATTACATATAATACCTGATACAATGTAAATACTATGTAAATAGTTGTTATACTGAATTATTTTTTAATTTGTATTATGTTTTATTGCTGTATTGTTATTTTTTATTGTTTTTATCGAAATATTTTTGATTCACAGTTGGTTAAATCTGTGGTTGTGGAACATGCCGATACAGAGGGCTGACTATACTTTATTATTACAATATGTTGACTCTTTACATGTTCTGTAGAAACTTGTTTTCCTCATAAAGCATATAACTTTAACCAAAGACAACAAGGAATTTTTCTTGCCAAAGACATTTTTTCATCTACTGAGTGGTTCTTTGACACAGGATACTTACTATGACACATCAAATGTGCATGTGCAGAAGCTGGTCAGGTAAGGCAAAGAACGAAGATGAGAAAGTTATCAGGGGTTTAGTGCAGTCATTAGAAAGCCCTCTTCTTCCCAGACTAGTTTGTCCTGCTCAGTGAAAAGTGTTTTATTTCATCCGTCTCTTTCCCCAACAGCCATTTAAAATAATAATGAAAGAATTAAAAAAGAAAAAAAACCCCACAAGATATTTACAGTAAATAAAAACCTGTCACCACATGGGGGGAAGGTGATGATACTTTCCTGGGCACGGTGTATGCTTGTTGACTATGGCACCAAACCTACTTCCTTCAGTTGATCTCTTTTACCAGCAATCAGGACAGTTATTTCCCTTAAATGGAAAATTCCATTACCATTTCTCTGCTAACTTATGGACAGACAGCTTTTTCCAATATTACTAATCCCACTGGAAGAAGATGGTTATAAACTTCCTTTTATGCTATGATCCATAGTCAGTTGCCAAAGCCCTCCGAAGAACACTAAGTATTAGTGTTTCTCAGGACATGTTGGTCTACGCTCCATTTGATTTCATGTAAATTTAGAATAAAATCTGGTTGTCCAATTTTTATTTCTTGAGGTACTTCTCAAGAAAGTGGGAAGCTAAAAAAAATTAAAAATGTAGGACTGTGAAATTTGCTTGAAAAAATGACAACTAGATAGTTTTAAATAAACTCCTTTTATTTGCTCTTATTAATATTTTAAGTTAAATATTTTGCCTACCAACATATCTAGTTAAGAAACAGCAGACCATTCCTGCATATTTCTTAAAAATAGAGATCTTTAAAAAATTTTATTAATGACGTTGTAAATTGTAATACCTATATATTTGGTAAGGGTACAGTGAAATAGATGTCCATATGCACTACTGGTGGTGGCATAAACTGCTACCACCTTTCAGAAAAGGCCATTTGACAATATGCATCAAAAACCTTAACATGTTTGACCCTTTGATTCAGGAATTTGACTTTTAGGAATTGAGCCTAATGAAATGTATAATATAATGAAATGGACAAACACATCTGTACAAAGGTGTTCATCGCAGCATTATTTGTAATACAGAAACACTGGGGACAACATAAATATAGAATAACTGGGGACTGGTTGATTTCCCAAATGGCAGGCTATTCATGCAATAGATTACCACATAGTCATCAAGAACTATCCCATTCGAAGTTAGTATATACAAGCAAAGAAAGAAATGTTAACAGTTGTTATCTCTTAGCGGTGGTTTTCCAGGTGACTTATTTCCTTTACTCCTTTTTGTATTTTCCAAATTTCTTTCAGTGAACATCTTTACTTTTAAAACAGACTTAAAAATTCATTTGTTAGTAGTATGGAGGAAAGTGTTTTTTAAAATTATAGTTCTGTACAAATGAACTTTAATGCTCTCTTTACTATCATTTTATCTTCCAAATATTTGCACCTCTATTTGCTTCTTACATATATTAAAATATGGAGTCAAAAGAGGTGTCATTCTAGCTCCCCTTTCTTCCCAAATGAAATTCCCCCAAATAAGACCACCATAGTCTCAATATTTTATTCACTTACGTTCAATTTTTCTTAATAATTATAATTCGTTCTTTTGAAGTTTGTATGTCCCTGTCTCTGTGTTTAATCTGCCCCTTCACTGTGCTGATAGGGACACATCTTCCACCCTTAAATCCCACTAGTCTTCTCCCTTCACCTCCCCACTCCTGCTCCTCCTCCTATATTCCGGAGAGTGTATTTAATGCTTTGCTCTTCAGGTTCTTCACTATTCAGAAAGTAGCATATAAAACAGTTACCTTTATTCATATTTATAAAATCATTGATCAAAAAGTCCTCATTGCAACAATTTCTATACAATGTCATGTAACCAACAACTGCAATGTGGAGGCAGTACACATTAAGGGCTCTCAGCCTGTCGAATCTCTGATACTCCAGCAGCCTCGGTGCCACGTCAGGAAATAACAAGGGGTCTACCTCTCTCTGGAGAGCAGTGTTTCACCTTTCTGGGGCAGAAGTCAGTAATCACATTCCCAAGATCTTCCCAAGAGAAGGAAAAGAAGGAGTGGAGGGAGAGCAGGTTGCCACACCCACTTAGGCACACCCGCATAGACTAACCTCCAAATTAAAGCTGGGGAGGTCACCTGCGTCGACTTTAAAAGTGCTCAGAGTCCTGATGCGAACTAAATGAGCGCAGACTTTGAGGGCATCTGTTGTGGGTTTTCCATCTTTCCTTCTCTGTCTTCTCGCATCTCCTATTGTTTCCCTTTGCCCTCTCCTTTCCCTATTTTCTACGTCCTTTGCTCAGCAGTAGCACTACAGGCATTAACCATCGTTGACCCTTGCGTTAAAACAGAATTTGGTAGCCAGCTCTCTCCTTGCCCCAATGAAAGCAGGTATGTTTAGGTCCGTCGGAGTGTAAAATTCCTCTGCTATCAAGTCACTTTAAAGCACATGTAGCTAAAGGGCACCTACATGTGCCAAGATGCAGTGGGGTTCAAGATGAGGACCCTGGCCGCGTCGCACCATCTTATAAATCGCAGGGGAGTGGAAAGACGTGAGAAAGCTGAGCAGTGGAATGAAGCCCAAACTAAGCAAACTCAGACGCGCAAGCGCGTTGCTCACAGCAGGGTTCCCGAGGCCACACCACAACGCCTGCGCACAGAATCCGGGATGGGCTGGGGAGAGGACCGGAGCCCGCGGGCCTTGGGCTCGCATCGCCGTGGCTCTCCATCGCCTGCGAGCTCCGCCTTCTCCAGCTGCTTGCCTTTCCAAACAACCGGGCGCGCCGCTGGCGCTCTCCGTCCATTGGCCCTTGGCCTTTTCCGTTTCCGCCCAGCCCTCCAGAGTCCACCAATCAGCTGGTGCGTTTGGGTAAGGGGCCACCTCCGAGGCTGTCGCTCCGGCTTCGCTGCCTCCCGCAGCTGCTGCCTCCGCTGCTGCCTCCTCCTTCCCCACCTCCTCCGTCAGGGGAGCGTCTGCGGGGGCCTGAGGGGCGGCGGCGGCGGCGGCGGCGATATGGAGCCGGGGGCCGGCGGCCGAAGCGCTGCTCGCGGGCAGGGGGCCGGACCCCCGAGCACTCCGCCGCCCCCGGAGCAGGAGCGGAAGCTGGAGCAGGAGAAGCTCTCCGGGGTGGTGAAGAGCGTCCACCGGCGGCTCCGCAAGAAGTACCGAGAAGGTAAACAGCGAGCTGAGCGAGGGGGGAGGGGAGGCGTCATCACACTCAACCCCTTGTTACCCTCCCCTCCCCCAAAGAGGCCACCATTAAAACCTAAAGGAGCTGCACGTCAGCCCCTGCGAAGGCCGCTCTCCCAGGCCCGGTCCGAGTCCTCAGTCGGCGTCAGGCGCGCTCCTCCCGCCCCCTTTTCTTCGAGGGCCCTTCGGGAGAGTTCCGGGCCTGTGGAGGAACTGAGTCCCGGCCGCCCCCAAGCCCCTGTCCCCGGACGCGGTGCTGAGAGTGTTGTCACGACACACACACACTCAGGGGGTTGGGGGATCGCTCATTGCGAGAGACGCGAAGGTAAGACACGAAGACAGGGAAAATGCATTCGTTAAGGACAGATGGAAAGAAGCCTGAGTTGCCCCTCTCTCCCTCGCCCAGTCTGTTCCCTTCGCTGCTCCGACAGAGCCGCTTCCTAGTACCGCACTGCTACGGCCATGCCGAAGCTTCCTCGCGCTGGCTTCCAGGGCTGCGAAGTCAGCAGGCCTTTTAGCTGACTGCACTTCACCTAGTTGTAAGAGCGACGGGCTCCGTCCCTACGCTCAGCCCCCATTCTTCAAATGCTTGATCTTAGTGTTTATTTAGGCGGGCGAGGAAGAGATCTGGGTCAGGTTCTCAAAGTACTGTTTGATTTTGAGTGGTCTAACTGCTAAACCTGCTAGAGACACAGATGCCGGTGATGCCGGCCGTCGGTGGGAACCTCCTGCATGGAAGATCATAAGCAAGGGGAAAAGCCTTGGTAGCTTTTGCCTGTGTCTGAGGAGTGTTGATAGTTGGGAGTCTGCAGTTATTCTTGGCATTTTCAAATATAGGCTTTTGGATAGAGTTATTTTGTAGGATTTTCACAGTGAAAATTCTCACTGTTTTCATGCGCTCAGGAGAAATTTCTTCTGCGTATGAAAATGGGGGTAACTTTCAACTAGCTCTCCCTTTTACTTAATTGCAAACTGAAAAGTCAGCAGCCTTCTAGTGTTAGTTAATTATTTAGAAGCAAATTTATTACAGGGAAGGAACAGAAACATGTATGATCATGTTACTTTTGATTTATATACACATTTCAGTTACTCTAGAAATTTAAAACTAAGTGTCTTTTGTTCCTTTGAGTGTAGTTGATGTGTTTCATTTTTCAAACTTGAAATTCCAAGTTTTCTTTCCTTGGCAACTCAAGCCTAGCTTTTCTCAGAGGCTGCTTAAATAGTCCTAAAGATGGCTTGTAGTTATTGTTTAATAGGTAGCAAGAGAAAGAGGCTTTGGGGGCATAGATAAGATATCGAATTTGTTTTTTAAAAGATGCTTTAAACCCAACCCACAATTTATTCAATAAAATGAATAGTTACCATAGCAACAATTGCATCATTCTTGATATTCAAAGAATGCACTTACATAATGGCATTCACTGTAGATTTTTATGTTATTTGGAGAAATGAGAAAATATGGACACACTTTCCTGCAATTTATCATGCTTTTTTTTTTTTTTTTTTTTTTTTTTTTTTACAGATTTAACTAAGTGCATCTTTTTAAGGAAAAGAAATGGCTAACATATGATTCGGTCTCCATTTTTACCTCTTTATAATAATTTCATTATTTTTCTTCATTAGGTTCCACTTTAATTAACACACTACTAATGTCATCATTTCTTCAAGTGTTGTTTATACTTGCTTAGTTCCCACATGTTTAAACATGTTTTTAAGCCCAAGTATTAGCCATGGAACACTTGTTTTAATGAGAATTGATAGTTGGAAATTACCGGAGCTGGAATAGATACATGTAGTACATAAGTGAATGATCTAGAGTGCTTCTGGGCAGGTAAAGTCCTGGCAGTCTAAACATTTGAATGAGACTGTTCTTTAAGCATTTTAATGCCCTGAATCCACCAGTGATCTGGACTTCTCTAGGCTTTGCACTAATGATATAGAAAGCCCCATCAGTGAACTAGCAAAATAAATGACCTTAATGAGTATGCCTTTTCTGCCTTTATTTCTGCAATATAGTCCAAATAGTAGTTTTAAAATAGCCGTCTGTGGAAAAGTCTGTATACGTAATCCCAAAGAAATAATTTTTAGTGTTTCACTTTGGGGACTTAGTATTGTAATACTGATGATGATCCCTAGACTGTAAACATATTTTCAAGTTCATTTGCAAGTTAACTGTTATCACAAGAAATAATGTGAACGGTGCTTTGGTGCTAAGCCAGCCTACAAAGGCCTATTTAATAGGTAACATACCTGAACTATAGTACTAATAACTATGCAAACTATATGCCTGATAAGCAGACTCATCTATTGCTTTTTAGAAAATTCCTGCATTTCACCTCACATCTACAGTTTAGAATCCCTATCATTAGAGCGTAGAAATCTGTCAGCCAGATTCTGGAATGGTGATTTAAACTAGCTCCATTTTACAGATTAGTGAGCTGAGTCCCAAAAAGATTAAAATGACTTACTTGATGTTTGGGTAGTTCATCATTAGTACTATACATATTTTATGGAAATGATAGGTTTGTCCTCCCAATTCCAAGCTTAATGTTGCTGACTCCAAATATTAGAATGGGAGGGAAAGTAGGAAGTAGTAAGTAGCCCTAGAATTTGCATTAGGAAAGAGGATAAAAATGAATGAGAATGGGTGATCCATGGGTATGATTAGCTGAGTTGCAGCTATGTGAGTTATGGGTTTTTGGTGGGGAGATGGCAGGGAAGGAAATAAGTTGGGGTGGAATGAAGAAGGAGGCAAAACAATCATTGAATAGTAAGGACAGGAGTGAAGATTAGATAATAAGTGTGGGATTGGAGAATAGTTATTTCTCTTATTTCTGGTAGTGGAATTGAAAATGAAACAGGAAAAAGAAAGAAAATAAGATTTTTCTGCTGTGGTGGGGAAAGATTTCTCTCCACTGTTCCCCAGTCTTATTTGTCCAACTGATGGTGATGAGCAGGCTTGGGGTGGGGGTCAGTAGATATGGTTGTAAAGACTAGTGGGTAGATTTAATGCAGTCTTTTACCACTTTTCCCTGCTCCATTCCATTTTACTGCCTGTCCTGTGTCACTACTTAGAGATTCTGTGCCAATCTGTATGAGTAAAGTGAGAATTGGAGATAAATGTCAGTGTTCCAGGCAGTACTGATACCTGAAGTAGTTACTGAAAGAAAATGGTAGGGAAATGCCTAGCAGTGGTGATGAGAAGGGGTGTTTCTTGTGTCAGCCATTTATAGATGAGACAGTCTTTTACATTGAGTTTATATAAATGGAAATATGCTTGCACATATAAATGTTCTCTGTTTTTGCTATACTGAAAATTTGAAATTTCCACATAAACCAAAAATATTTCAAATATATCATAAGAGTTGTAGACAGCCTTTTAATAAGAGACAGCTAGATTTGCTTTCCAAACAGGGACTTCATTGTGTAATCAGATGTGCCTGATAATTATATATCAAATTGAGAACTGAAGTAGAGCCATGTGTATTTTCAGTTGTCTTTGTAAGATTTTTTAACATAATCCTATTCATATGAACCCATTCCTATAATTATTGTTATTATGCCTGGCATTTCTTTTTCCAAACTTAAAATGTTCATGTAAAAATTCCAAGAAAATGTAAAAGGCTGCAGTTGTCAGGAATAAAATACAATCTCCATTCCATCTAGTTTTGATTTTTTTAAACCTATCTTTACTTCAGGAAATATCATCAATTAATTCTGTCCCTGAATTTACTTACTTTACATAGTGAAACATGTTAAAACAATTTATCATGTAAACCCATGGAGCTTATAAATCAACCAGAGAAAAATAAAAATATATACTGAACTGTTTACAGGTATTCTCAAGGTTATGGAGTTATGGATGATCTTTATACTTTCCTGCATTAAAAAATGAATGTTATTAGTAGCAATGATAACATTATAAAAGCAGTTAAACAAAATAGGTTACTGATTCTGAAGCAGAAAGGGAGAACACAGGATAGGTTGGTTCTGTAGACTTAAGTCCAGGAAAAAAAATGGTGTTATAAAGGTTAACAGTTGTGAGAAGCATTTTAAGAGTCAAGGACTGTGTAGCCTAATTTAGATGTTTAATCCTTATTATTCAAATTATTCTTCATAGTTTGAGACAAAGGGTGAACTAGAATAGCAATTTAGGATAAGCTGAAAAATACATTTGCAATTGATTATTTTCCAAAACAAGGGAATTGTGGGAGATGGGGGAAACCTTTGAATCAGAAGTAATTTAAAACTAAAATCAAAAAAGCCTAAAAATGAAAAATGAATGTAGTGGTATTTTTCTTGAAACAAATTGTTTGAAATTGTTTTAAAAATTAGGATAACAGACTGTTTCTAATTAAAAAAATTTTTTCCAGTGGCCCTTGAACACAACTGCTTTAAAATACTAACTCCATGACCCCAAGAAACTTTGAACATTTTCTCTTTGAAGTGAGGTTTTGCTCTATTTTCTTTTTATGTTTTTCCCAGTCACACCCATTCTGATATAGAATGAGAGGGGTTTTTTTTGTGATAGAATCTGCTTAATCAGAAAAATAAGTAAGGTGAAGACTCCCCATAGAAAATCTTGTTCACTTTGCCCTAGGCAAGTTTGAACTGCCATTCCAGCAGGGAAAAAAAAAAAAAAGAAAGAAAGAAAGAAAGAAAAGAGCTTAATAATCAGTAATACTAAAAGATAAAAGGAACATGGACACAGTCATTTTAGTGAAGGGCACATAGGCTTGCAATGTATGTTAGCTATTTGATTGTGTTATTATTAGTTATCTCTATGATAAGATATCTTTTTAGGGACTTTTTGTGTTTTGAAAGATACACTAAAAACCAAAAAAGTGTTGGTGTAGATCCTTTGAATGTTTTATGGAAAAAATAAAGCAGCAAATGTAGTGGTGCTTTGCCTTGGTTCCACCTCACTGTCATCTTTGGAACTTTGTGAAACACAGGTATCTATATTATTTAAAAGCTCCATAG